AAATCTTATAATTGCTTTCTAGTATTCTCTTTATAATCTCTCTATAATAGAAACATCTGTGAGCAAGCTTTATAGTGTCATTTTGTTATCAAATATTATAATGGCCACAGATCATTTTTTCTTCTTGGAACATTACCTAATGAATGAGATTTCTTTTATTTGCTGGTAGATGCAGATTTTTTTTTTAATTATTTGAGGAAAGCTGATTAATTTGAAAAGACTATCACTCTGAAATTATCCTTGATTTTAGCAAAATTATTTAACCACTGCTTGAAGAAATCATTCCCAAGTCTGTAGGTGTCAAGTGTATGCAAGTTTTTCAAAAATGCTAGTCGGCACTTATCCTCCTCTCAATATAGACCCATCAGTCTCATTATCATACTTTTTGAATCTATAATCAACTAGAAGATTGTTGATCACCTAAATAAGAACAGCCCTTTGACCAACAAGCAGTATGGGTTCCAATCAGCCCAATCCACTGCTGATGTCCTGTCATTACTCACAGAATCAGTGAGGCACTAGACAATAAATACATCTCAAGGACTATCACATTAGATAGTTCAAAGGCCTTTGACAAGGTATGACACTAAGGATTGCTACACAAGCTCTCTAGCTATGGAATCAATGGAAGAATCTTTTCAATTATAAAGTCCTTCCTAACAGGTAGATTCCTGAAGGTAGTTGTTAATGGCTAATCTTCCAAGGCTCTAGCAATCAATGCAGGTATCCCCCATGGCTCACTTCTTGAAACAACCCTCTTTCTATTTTACATAAATTATCTGACTAAGAATATACTCCAATCATTTATGAATATCTATACTGATGATACAATTGTATATGGGTGACCAGCGATTGGCAGCTGATCTCTCCTCTAACATCTTAGTGAGGGAAAACCTGGCTAGTTACATTCAATGCCTCAAAAATCGAACTAATTACATTCTATCATCGCCAATTGGACCCAGAACTGCCACTGATCACAATGAATAGATGTTCCCCCAGAGAGGCCCTGCGTCTTGAGCACCTATTGGGACTTAAACTTAACCTAGACCTCAAGTGGAACTCATACACATGATCCATCACTATAAAGATGCCGGAAAAATGGTTGGGTCCATGTTCCAGTAAATACCTGACTCCTCCTGTTATCCTCTATCTTTATAAGAACCAGATTAGGACTTAAAGGAGTACTGTTGCCATATATAGGCAGAAGTTGTCTAGTCTCCACTTTCCAGTCTCGATAGAGTTCAAAAGTCTCTGCATCCTTGTGGGTGATGAATTATTTTCCTCACTAGAACCCCTTGCTGCTCTATCACTATTTCTATGTAAAGTATTCAGACAAACTACATTCCTTAGTTTCATCAGTTCTAAACTTTACAGCTAAGACTCGCCATGCCATGCCCATTGTATTTAACAACCCTTATTCCCTTCATATTTCATAGGTGAGATCTAAGTTCCACCCAAGTAGCTTCTTTCCATGAACCACTGCTTTGTCGAACCAACTCCCAAGAGGATGTTTCCTTAATCACTACAATCTTAGCCTGTTCAAGTCTAGGATTAACTGTTATCTTTGCCACCTATCCGCATAAACTGTGTCTCTTATTCTGTAACAATCTACCTCGAGTGGCTCTCGGGTCTTGTACAGGGCGAACATCATTGTAGAAAAAAAAAAATTTCATTAATAGAATAAAAAGCAAAACAAAATTTTCAGAAAACTACTGGAATAACATTAAACATAAAAATCTCAAATGAAGAAATCATAGAGAGATCTACAGTTGTCTTCCCATAAAAATTATGGCCAGAATCCATTTGAATGGATATTCTAGATATTGATAAATCTGTAACCACCAAATAGACTACAAAGTGCTAATAAAAAAGCTTCATTTCAATTGATATTGAAGCAGTGTACTCTTCTACATCCAATACAAGTGCCAAAATAAGCACTGTTACTGGGGGGGGGGTGATAAATGGAATAATCATGCAAGCACTTGTATTTGGTACACAAAGTAGATGTAAATAGTCTAAAAGAAAAAAACGGATTAATATCAAAAATACATAGATGCAAAATAAAAAAAAGGTTGTTATTGAAAGCTTTGCAGGAAATTGGCACTGATAGCCTAAAACAAAGGGACACAAGCAATTAAAGTTATTTTGGTTTCTAACAGACAATTGTTCATCAGTTTCACATCTTTTTGTAAAATGAAATAGAAAACAACACAGTTTAATTAATCAACTTAAGTATTTAATTATAGCTTGGATTAATTACTTATACGATAAATCACTATAACTGTAAGAGGAGATATTTTACAAATTTGAAATATTCATCTCAATTTTATTCCAAAATTTGCAACTTTTCTTAATATTTCAAGATATCTGTACAAAGAAGGGTGTGCTTAAAGGTTCTTGCTCTGACTAAGAATCTCCCGTCCTCTCCCCTCATATTGTCAAATTTAGAGAAGTAAATCAAATTAAGAACTCTTCAGCACATCCTTCATATATTAATAAGAAATAAGAGAGGCACATATACAAAGGCAAACTAAGCTACTGAGAGAGAGAGAGAGAGAGAGAGTAAATAAGCTCAGCAAAATAAAAGTATTTTTTTTCAGAGATTTTGCTATTTCATTTCACTTTGTATGCACACAATTACAAAACTGACAATTAGGAATTAACTTGAACTTTCAACAAGTTGGGTTATGACCTCCAATTCCAAGCAAAAGAGAATCCAAAGTCCAATGAAAGAATATCTTGTATCCATTTGCAGAAGAAAAATAAGAAGCAGCCCCATGAAGCTGAGTGTTAGGATTTCTGACACTTCCAATAGTGTCCTACTGTTAACTACTTACAAAGAAAGAAGTTAACATTTTCCAAATCACTACAATTAAGGGTTTGCCTTGCCTTTCAAAAAATGTCAATGTTTCAACTTACTCAAGAAATGATGCAGCTATTTTTAAGAGTGTTTATGGTGATCAAACAAGTGGGATTTTTACGTAAAACTCAACACCATTCTAGAAAGTCCATTTTTTAGCAATTTCTATTTTTGTCACATTAACTCAAGAAGTACAAATGTTTCAATAATGGATTTCTTGGATAAAAAATAGACTTTTCAATAGTAATTAAAATCAAATAGATCAAAAATTTTGATTTGGTAAATGTGCAAAGTTGAATTAAATGTTAAAAAAGAGTGAAATAAGAAAACATGTCAAGAGTCTGTTGGCATTAACTCTTAAAGAAGTTCAAGATACAATTGTCAAAGAGAAACTGCATTCTTGTAAGGAAAACAATTAAGAGACTCTCCAAAGCTCAATCCCATCTTTATAAAGATAAAAATGTTCAGTCAATACAAAATGACAGTAAAAAAATGAGAATTAATCACTCTCTGATTTGAAGAGTGAAAGGTTAACAATTTTTTTTTTCTTAAAGATTGACATTTGTTTCTCATTCATAAAATCCAAGTCTAATAACCTTGTGTATCAGAAATGTTGAGGGAAAAACTATCACCAAGTGTGTCTTTATTATAAAACAATTTAGCAAAGTACATGGTAAATGATTTCCCTTTCATCAAACATTTGAAATTTTATAATTTTTTTTATTTCAAAATAAACCCTACAAGCTACACAATTATTCAAAATAACATTTAAAAAATAAACATTGAAATATTATCAATTGCCAATAACGTCTGTCAGTAAGGTCAACATGTTGATTCTGTTTTTGAAAAGTAGAAATTCAAAACTCTATATAGGGTCAAAATATGTCAGTAAAAACAAAAACTGAAACTCGGTTTTTCATGCAATATTAAAAAGATTTTATTATTTGCATCCTTGTTTTAAAAGGAGGAAAAATATTCCAAGAATATTTTCCGTAAGCATAAAAATAAAAAACTATGACACAACAGCTGTCATGAATTTTTGTTTTTAAATACAATCTCAAATTGTAAAGACCAAGGTTGATTCTAGTTAAGTTGTAATTAACAAAGCATCAAAATGTTTGACTTTATCAGTGAATGTCAAAACAGATGGAATAAATAAATCCTGTTTAAGTTATTGAAAAGTGAATTTAATAACAATAAGCATTTTATTTGTTCAAATAAAAAGTAATATTTCATTTTAGAAGACCTGATAAAATTTCTGATATGAACACAAGTTTTAAAAACAGATTTTAAACAAAGAGCTATCAATCAAATTCATTCTCTCAAGCTATTATTACTGTCTTTGTCTTTTTAAGCAGATGTCAGAGAGATGCATTCATCTTACATATTAGTCAATCTTCAATTTTCAGACATTAAATCATTCATTTATGATAAACCTTATGTATAGCTAATTTTTGCAAGTAACACAACACCACATCAAGTTAAGAAAATACAGAAAAATTTTAGGCCTCCTACAATGCGGCTAGAGGTCTACTCTGGTAACAGTGTCAACACACAATGTCTACAGAGGCATCATGTATAGTGGGATGAAGTTGATGCAACTGTGATATAAAGAGGGAAAAATATCAAATTCCTGTGTATCTATGACTACTATCATATCAACGGCATAAGCTAACCTTTGTAAAGAACTTCCAGAAAGTACAAAATGAATGTTGCTTGCCAAGTTAACCTGACAAGTTTTTTAAGGCACATCTCAGCTCTTGGCACATCACATTTGTAAAATATGGCGAAAAGTTACACATTATTTCAATGTATGTCTAAGCAAAATTAAGTCCTATTTAATTTTGTCTGGAGAAAGAAAAAATAATAATAACTATTAGAAGTTAATTTAACACACACAAAAAAATAATAATAAATTGAAAAATAAAGTTCTAACCATTGTTTTGCTGTTTTACAAAACAAACTATAATTTTGAGGTTTACTTAAGGGACAAAAAGAAATGGGTAGGAAAACCACACTTGAAAAATAACCAAAAGGAAAACTGTGGGGAAATAGTGACAACTAGAGATGAATATGTCGTTTGAAAATACTGCGTGCACACACTCAAGAGAGAGTGAATACAAAATGTCTTTCTACTCACCACCATGCTTGGGCATGTGGAGTTGAAGCTGGGTATACTTCATGGTGGAAAAGTTGCAAAATCTACATTTGTAGAGACGAGCAGCAATAGAGAATCCGGTCGGAGTGACCAGGTTTTCAGGCGAGGACCTGTCCTCACTGTACTCGTCCAATGGTGACAGATCTCCCCGGTTCAAGTCATACTCACTTCTGCCTGAGTCAAAGTCACTCCTGCCAGCTTCGTAATTCACCACATATTGCTGGTCCTGTGAGGAGTCCCCGTCCAACGTAATGGTCGGCACTTCACTCAGACCACTTTCTTCAGCAGTTGATGGCACATCTGCACTAACCTCTGGCCGTGTCATTCGGTTTGAAAGCAGCAGACGTGCAATTGTACTTTGACGCACTTCTGGCTTGTCGTCTCCACTACTAACATATGGGTCTTCTTCCATGACACATACAGATTCCTAAAAACAAAACAAAACTTATTTAAAACATTCTATAAAATGCACAATGTATGTTACAGATGTTATATTTGAAATTACAGATGATCAGACATGATCTTCACAAAGCACTCTACACTTGTAACCTTGTGCCAGATTAAAGATTCATGAAAACTCTCAGCAAAGTTTCTTATCTGATTAACATTTCCCAAAATTATTTATTCAAATTCATAATAATCAGAAAAGTTTTTTTTAAGTTTTCTATGACCTTATAGCACCTTTCAGAGAAATTGTGTATTATTTATAAAAGAACAATTCCAGGTTAGATTTCATTAATTCTTTCAAGAAATGTTTTGATATATCCAACTTGTTGGATATATCAAAATGTTGCATGGGGCAGAACAAGTGACAGCCTAAAAGCAACAGATCTGGAGAATACATGGCATGTACAATGACATTCATTGTTCTATGAGAATTTGCTACATTGCATTTGTAAAAAGAAAGCATTGTCATACAGTAAAATCATGGTCAGGAAAAATATCTTTTCTCCACAAATTTGCCATTCAAACAAGCCAACTGATCACTGTAGAATGCCAAAGTAATAAATTTGATCAGATTCCAACAACTTTTAATCCAACCAAGCACAAAACTACCCAAGCCACAATCAAACCTGTTTAGCTTGTGATACTGAAGGCTATCTAGGATCTTGCAATGATTTTTCTTCATTTGGAATGTTATTAAAAAAAATTTATTTTTCATCCCCAGTAACTATATTGTCTAAAAATAAGAGAAAAGCAAGTATTTAAATATTGACATTTCCTCGACTCTCTTGCCTTGAGGTGGCAACTAATCCAGGAGAAAGAAAACTGAATTCAAAACAAGAAAAGAGATAGCATCTATCAAGCTATCTCAGACACACACTACTGGTGCTATGGCTTCAGTACATATGATGTTCTAATGACTAATGGCATTCATGTTATAACAACATAGGACAACTGTTTCACCTTTAATGTTTCTGCAAGTCTATGTGTTATTTATGCTTTTAGCTTCTTTCAAAAGTTTTTCCTTCAATTCAACAATTTTCACCTTCTGACATCTTCCTCATTAATCTTTGTTGTTGAACTCAAAACATTTTAAAAATTTCACAAAAAAGTTCCAAATCATGCTTGCACATACTGTATTATTATTATCATCATTATCATAAGCATCATAATCCAGTGCCAAGTTTCCACTGCACCTTTTCTCCATTTAAACATGAAGAGTAAACTGTGTCAAAACCTTTTATATTTAGCCATGAGTGTCATCAAAATGAAGTTAAATTTTCACAGAACCAAAAGCCAAATTCTAAGACACAGCAAATATTTACCTCATATTTTAAAAAAGATGGCACTGAACTTTTACATCAACCAAATAGTACCAATTTCTGATGCCTTTTGTTTCAGAATTGTATCAGATTATTCATTTTGCCAGACCAATAAAAGACCCAAATATATTAATAATACATCTGACCCACTAATTATGCACCTCTTTAAATTAAACAAATATTTCTCATATTGTTTGATAACTGTCTCAAAAGGCTTACCATAATGTATCATATCTAACATACACTTCATGAAATGCGAGTAATAATACTTAGCCATGACAGAGCACAGTATTCTTTGTTGGTCATGGATGACAGATAAGCAGTTTGCTGCTAAGAATACTGTAATATTCTTCATCCATGTGCCATGTCTCTTCAAGACGTGTGATTATGTCTCTCCACAACTTCCTGTGCTTTGTAGCTCTTAGCAATGTTTGTCTTTTACTACCCCTCCCACAAATAAATGGTAAAGTAGGTTACTTGCTGTTCCCTCTGCCCCTCTTGCCATCAATACGTCCTATGAGTGTCAAATTTGCCAAGGTTTTTTTTCTTCATTGTGTTTCTCAGAAATTTTCAACTTGTCTCTTTTTGATTGTATGTATAAATTTCCTTTTTGTTTCCATTTTCCTTAAAAGGTTCAACAGGATGGACAGAATAGAATTTTATAAGTCTTCTAGTAAACCTATGAATATGCAGTGCACTTGTAATTTTGTCCAAATTAAAAGATGTGAGACAATCAGTTGCTGGAATAGTGGTTGTTGTACATGTATTGAAATTTCCTAACAAGACAAAAATATTGATTACCATAATGTGACAATCAGTATTTTCCTAATACAAATTACTTCCTTAATTGACAAAGTAAAAAAAAGCAAAATGTTGAATTAAAGAAAATATTTGAAATTAAGTTTTTCCTTTTGATATAAGAACCTATGAGAGCTTTCCTAATTTATTGAAATCAAAGGCCAAAAGATACCAAACCATGGCAATATTTGGATGCAAAAAATCTTTTTCAAATTGTTCTGTAACATAATTATACAAAATCAACTACAAATTGGTTTTCTGGCAATGCAGTAATCAACATTTTCCCACCTCTTGTCCAAAAGAATCCAATGATTTTAATTGGAAAAAAGATTTTGCTAAAACTCATAAATCATTACATAAATTCATTTCAGTCAAAAATTTGTAATAGTGTGATACTTTCCTCTATATTAAATGTTGGTTGTTCAAATATTTCTCAAAATTAATTCTAGTTTGCTTCTTTTTTTTTTTTTTTTAAATATTCAACACCTCTGAAAAAGAATCAAATTTAATGGCAGAATAAACTTACAGGGTTTTCAGGAGATTTATTGGAATTCATTTCTTTCTTTTCCCATTCTGAGGAGTTTAAAAGCTGAAAAATAAATGGATTGCGATTGATACAAAAAGGAACATTTGACAAAGAACATAAAATTTAACAAATCTTCCTTATGAATAAAGGAAATATTAAATAAGTTGTTTCTTATGCTTTCCCTTGAAATCAACATGTCCAAATAAAAAGGCAATTAACTGACAACAACAGGAACATATTCAAGTGTATATCAATCATCATCATCGATATTGGTGTGATCGTATTTCTTTAATGTTCATACTTGGCCTAAGTCTATGTAGTCTTGGACTTCTTTATTTTTATGATCTTTTTTGGAATGTTATACTTGAACATTCCATTTGTACGTATATTCATTTTTAAACCTATATTCAGACTTACCTAATTTAGGTCATTTAGCATTTAATGTGATTCAGCCAATAATTCTAATGTTAGTAAAATTAGATCAAAAAATTTAATGGTTTAAATTAGGTACCTCCACAGAAATGCAAAACCTAAGGTTTAAAATGAATTTTTAAAGATGAAAACTATTTCTTGAAGGTTTTATTTTAGTTTTAATTTCAAGCTAATAGTAAGAGATTAAATTTAATATTTCCAATAAGCAAACTACTTTGCTGTATTTCAAAACAATTTAAATTTACTGGAAGATTTATATTGAAATCCCTAAAAGTTGCTGATTTTAGAACTCTTTCATCACAATGTGATTCTCACTATTAAAAAAAAAATCTTTCAAAAATAAAATATACTTTTCTGAAACTTTATTTGAGGAATATTAACTGATTTAAAGTTTAATCTGATTTTAAACAAATATTACTTTTAGTTTAAAATACTGCAGAAATGCATTTTTTAACAAAAAGGATGGTGTTTATAATTTTTAACTACCCAGTAATCTTAAAAATTTAGGAAAATATTCTCTGTTAGATTACAGAGAAGGGGGGGGGTCTATTAAAAAAAAACAACAACAAAACAAAATCAATGATTTAAAATCTCCAAGGAGTTTTGCATATAACTAATATAAACATTAAGCAGTACAAAAATTAATTTCTCAAAATTTCATAAAATTAAATAAGTCTGGAACAGATGTTAAAAAAAAAAAAAAAAAAAAAAAAATTTCTAGAAAAGAAACATTTCTAAAATAATTCATTTGTGTATAAGTCCAGAAAGTTTAATTAAAATCAAACAATTACTTTATTTTTGCAAGAATTTCCAAATTAATTAATGTGTTTTTTGCTGCTAAAATTTCCTATACTAATGTATGGTCCACTACCAACAAAAAAAAAAAAAAAAAAAAAAAATTTTGAATGTTCTAAAAAAGATAAAAAAATATAATTTGATAATAAAAAAAATCCTTTGGTCTTTCCTCTTGATAATAACAAAGATTTTAATGATAAAACTTTTGTTTTTTATTAAGTTTGGGACATTTTTTCATCATGTGTGCTCATTTTTAATGAATCTTAGGAGGTTCCTAGTTTAAATATTCTCTCATCCCTTCAAAGTTCATTTTTGAAAGCTATTTTAAGAGCTGCTTGAAATAGTTTAGGTGAAATTGGATCCTCTTGTATCACTCCTTTTTCAATCTATTAACTTGTGTGACCAAATAATTCTCAATAACTTTTATATATTTTTATTAATACCTCTCCTTTTATAGTGAGTTAAAGATTGCCACGTGTTCTACTGAGTCAAATGCCTTTTCATAATCAACCAAAGACAGTTATATCATTGTTCTTTATCAATTGATCTATGCTTTGTCAATGGTCTATTGGTAAATAGCCAGTCCTAAAGCTTAACTCTTCACGTGGCTTGTTTACATCTCTGGTATTTATAAGTATTTTTGAGAGAAATTTGTATATATTCAATAATGTTATAAGACAAAATATTTTCCCCTGGTCTTTTTTATCATTTCTTTTTATAAAGGCAGATTATTGTTCCTAGACTAAAATTTACAAATACTTTTCTTTTTCCATATGCACTGAGTACATAGTTGCACTAATCATTTGTAGAATTCTTCTCCTGAATTTTTCTAATTTTTCTAAAGTTCTGTTACTATGCCATTTTCTCATGGTGCTTTAACACATTCCACATTTTGAAGTGCAAACCTTATTTCATCTGTCATTATCTCAAGGACATCACTAGTATCTGTCAGAATAACTGTTGGTGGTATTTTTATATACAGTGTACAACAGAAATACCTCCCACATAATGGTAAAACATTAGCTAGAATAAGAAACCTTGCCACTAATGTCTTACCATTATCTGGGAGGTATTTCTGCCATGCTCTGTAGTAGCTTAAAGATTTGCATAATATTCTTTAGATATTCTAAACGTCTTGTCCTTACATTTGATAACTTCTCCATTTCTGTCTTTCAATACAAGCAGCTGCTGTTTATCTGTGTTACAAACCAAGCAAGCAGGTTTCAAACCCTTCCTTTTCCTGATAGCTTATTCCATTCTTCCTTTTTTGTCATTTTATGCTGATTAGTTTAAGATAGCATTTTTCTCTTAGTATTTATAACCATGTCTTTCCATTTTTTCCTCAGTTCTAATGCTGACCAACTTATCTCTTTATTATTTTAATTGGTTTTCCTTAATTATAGCTGCCGATTTGCTATCCATATTTCTATTTGTCCTCAAAACCTAGGATCAGCACTCAATTTCTATCTAAAATTCAGTGATGTTCTGACTTTATTAGAATAGTTTTCTTTCTTTTTCCTTTTGAAGTCAATTTGACTTCTATGAACATTTTCTATATTAACTTTCTTTAGTCACATCTTTAACGTCATATGACAAACCCATATTGAAAACAGGGATAACTGAAAACACACCGATAATATTGGATTTCATTTATTGTACTATCAAGTCAAACAAAATGTCTCAAGTTGCAACAGGCTATGAACCCAACAGATCCTACCCATGATTTGACAGTAGTGAAAGCAAATACAAGTTATGAAAGTTAAATTCTAGGGTTATATACAACTTGAAAGGTTGCATGATTTATTACCAATGCAAGGCCATCCAGTTGAAAATTACAGTGAAAAGAATGACAAAACTGTAAGGCTGGACAATGAAAGTATTTTTTTTTGACTATTCAGGATGTAACAGACAATGGTAGAAAAGTATTGAAAATCTTGAAAAAGCACTATGTATCAAAAAGAAAATTCAAGATTATTTCTCTATACACAAAATTCATTTCTTTTAGAACAATCAAAAGAGGAAAGCGCAGAAAATGTTGCCACTTCCTTAAAAATGTTAAGAGAAATAGTCAATGAAATCCTATTCATTACCATGATCTTAAATGGATCTGTCAAAATTCAAAACTTTATCACTGCTATCACACCAAAAAATAGTTTAACATTCAGTCACTTGAAAGGAGCACTAACATGTTTTGAGGAAACAGAATGTTACAAGAAGACCATCAAGAGAAGAGTGTAAAGAGAATGAAAACAAAAGAACAATTGTGTGTTATATGTGGTAAAACAAGGACATATAGATTTGAACTGCTTTGTCAACCACACTTCTGAAATAAAACATTCCCTTCTATTTTCAGTAAATGATATGTTGGTTGATTGTAAAGTAATGTGTCATAATAGTATAGACAAATTTCACAAGTTTTGACAGTAACCACAAAAAACATTTTACTGTGTTGCCAAATAGTTACAGTACAAATAACATCACTTTGGAAAAAAAGGTAATGCCAGGGTTTTGCTGATGGATTTGATTAGGAATAAACAGATTTATGTCTTAAAAGCAGCCACTAACAAAGTGCAAATACAATTTCATTAAAATCTACAATTATGAGAATGGTATGAAATTTTAAGCCATTGAAATAATAAAGCTCAAAAAAAAGAAATAAAATTACAGAGAAATTATAACTGAGCTGGTCCAATAGGTCCTCTTGCTAAAAAGAGGCTCAAGGGTTTTTGTAAACTATCACAAATATAATTCTAGCATACCTTATATACCACCCAAAAAAGAAAGAAATTTTAAAAAGTAAGGTGAATTAAGTTCACCAAATAATTTAAAACTGAATAATAGTGAACCTTTTAATCCACTTGTGCCTGTTGATAAGAAAAATTATTGTATGACCAGAATGTATTGAAACTGATCCTCTTGAATATGAAAACAGAAGATTGAGAAAGTGATTGTGATCATGAAACAAGATCTAGAAAGAGGTCACCACCTCAGTACAGATCACAATCTAGATAATCATGTTCAAGATATCAAGGATACTTGGTTCCTTGACATACAGCTCCTATATGAAGGCAATGTAATTAAAATGACTCACTCCATTATACATATATATGTGCTAATACCCTTGGGAAAGGTGTGAATCCTCTTCTCCCTCCAGTTATGGGTAAATAGCAGGACAGACTGGGTTCTGTAGCCTTGGATAGCAACTACTCTAGAAGAAGGACAACTCTGAATTCAAAACCTGCAGAAGATCGTTTGGGGACCCTGTGGCACGTAGTGCACCAGGTCTCTGTATTCGGCCCTTCAAAAAGTGTGGATGGTCCTGCACGAAACCTTCACCACTATAATCAAATCTCATGTGCTGTTGTCAGGCTGTCGGTTTCCTAGGAACTGATCTGCTTGATCCTCATACGTTGAATTCGATGGGAGAGAGTTGAGTATATATATATATATATATATATATATATATTTAAAAGGTGATAAGCAAATTATAAATCCAGATCTTTTTGTAATAAATGTAAACAAGATAGAAAAGGATTGTGCAGAAATGGTTAACGATATCTTGTATAGAGAAACTGAAGTTTAATTTACATTAATGCTTGACCAAATTTTGTTTTATATTGTAACAAAATTGTCACAACACCTAGCAAAGACAACCATTGCCCATTTAAATCCACAGTAAAATGTTTCATATTATCTGAAATGCATAAAAGATGAAAATCTATTTTCAAAATCAAATCAAATCTGAATTTATTAGTTTCTGTGATGCAAACTGAGGTAATTATAAAATATCATCATAGTATTATTGGTTATGGTTTAATTGACACCAAATAGTTCATTAATATTTTGGAAAAATGGAAAACAACAAAGTGTTACACTATCCACTTACAAGTTTGAATAGATAACTTTATCAGCAAAAACAAAATAATTACAAGTTCTTAATTACTGAAAAGTTGTCATCAATTCTCATTTATTCAACAGTGTCACTACACATTGTGACAATCAAGATGCTTGCGAAAAAACTTGTACAACGTCAAAGATCAAAACATATCAACACAGAATAGCATTTCATTAGGTCTGAAGTGTATAAAGTTATTATGTAATATGTATATATAACTACTGATATTCCAAACTAAAGTTTTATTTTCTATGTATCTAAAAACCTTTAACAGAAGTATAGAGAAATTAATGAAACACAATAAATGGTACCAAATTTATTTTGGTAGCTCAAATAGCAACAAATGACCATTCAAAGTTTATCAGTTTTCTGTCTGGTGTGTTCTTGGACTAGAAGCCAATTTCAACAATGTATAACTGAAGATGCCAGCTTCAGACTAGTTTAAAAAAATCATTATAAATGTAACATCATATGGATAGTCTTGAAGTAAATGAAATATAATACTAATGTAAGCAATAATTATTAAATCAGACCAGCCTAAACATTGAGAATCACTGCATTCTCAAAAATGAAATAGCTAAGATATGATACAGAAAGGAAATTTTGACTATTCAAGTTTCATTTCAACAACCAATGCCTTCCAACTTCTTGCCAGGATTCATTACACAACAGGAATTAAGCTAACTTTTTTTCAGTAGTACATCAATAAAAACCCATATTTACACTGTGTAAAAACAGCCAGAAACACAATTTGACATTTTAGGATAAAAACAGGTCAAAAGTACACCATCCTGAAGTTGCCATAAAAATGTATCTATTGGAAGGTACATGCCTGAAACTTGGAAACTTTACTCATTTGGGGATGAGGAATTTAATAAAACATTTCTTTTCTCTGTAATAAGAATACCTTTTCTCATACATGTATCTAATTTTGGAAAATTTTGTGAAATTATGCAATTTTTAACTTGTCAAAAAAAAAAAAAAAAAAGAAAGAAACAAAACATAGAAATTTGTTTCATGAAATGAATCATTGGTCAACCCTGCAAACAAATGCTTATTGTAAAGCTTTCACCTCATTTATCTTCAAACTGAAAACACAGAAATGAATAAAAATACATTTATTGGAACTGATAAAAAAGACTTTCTTTACAGTCTTCCTACATTTCCTATTCTAACAAGTATTTTATAATCTGAACTTGTTTAATGAGTCTCTCTGCTATAGCCAATATTCCTGGAATAGTCCATATCACTTGAAAATAGTATTAGTCCCATCTAAAGACAAATGTTGACACCTCTTGTGCAATATCATCCAACAAATGCTCTCAAAAAGTAATCATTTCTGCCTTTGGTTGAAACTAAAATCTTGATTACAGAGATGTAATATCAATGACATGGTCACTGTAAAAGTTGGAGTAATAGTAAACTACATCACATTGGCCTAGCAACTTGTAACTAAAAGTCATTTGAAGCAGTAACAAATGCTAAAGTTGTTTAAATATTCACATTCACTGAGCACCCTTTCTTTATTCCATTAGAAGTAGAGATGAAGTTCGATTAAAAGTTTTATCAGTGAAATGTCTAGTCCCTTCATCAGTTTTATATATTGTAAGGAATTTGGGGTCTTCTTCAGCTTTACTTCTCCCACTACTTCTCAGGGCACTGAGTTCATCATGCACAAAACAGAAGATTAAATGCAAATTTTATTAATCACTTGGATAGGGGACACTTGTATGGAAAGCACTAATTTAAAAAAAAAAAAAAAAAAATTTTTTTCAAAAAGACGTATGCAAAAGTTGAAGTATAAAATGTATATTTCTTTTTTTAAGAAAATGTAAAAATTTTGTTTTAACCTCCTGAATAGGACCTAATCCCTAGAATTAGTAAACAAATAATCATTAAAAAAAAAATATATATATATATATATATATATAATAAATGATTCCATTTTGAAAATTCCCTGCTAATTACATTTTAATTTTTTTATGGATCCAAGCACCAAAGTTAAGCTTAACCCATTTCATTTTTTTGTTTTTTTTTTATAAAATGTATCCAGTTTCATTTTTTTTTACAAGAAGAAGAAAATGTAAATAAATTTTCAATTTAATCCCCAAATCCCAAGAATTAAAAATATTGCCAGCCATGAATGTAAATGAAATGAATATTAAAAGGAAAACTGGATAGTTTTTTAAAAATTTTATTTTCATTTTTTATGGACAAATGTGAGGGTGAAATTCTAAGAACTAAGAATATATCTGGTTTATATATTTATTTTTCTATTTTATAATATGAATTTTGTTTAATGTTTTTTTAAGAAAATGCATAAAAACAGCAGCTGATGGTGATTCGAACATGAGAGTTTGAACTAAATACAATGAATAAATACTATATACAGTTTTAAAATCTATCATTAAAAAAATAAGGAAAAGATTTAAACTGTAATATTCATTGATGAAACAAGCCAGACTTTAAACAGGGTTCAGCTGCCAATGTACAGCCACTTGGTCATTAATACAAATTCTGATGCATTGAGTCAGACCAAACTGTTTTGTACAAAATGAACACAGTATAACCTCTTTTTAAATCGCATGTGCTTCAAGTTGTATGAACGCAGAGATATGAGAGCAAGTGACTATTAAAAATGAGACATTTTGCTCAACGAGGTGTAATTTTTATTTTTTTTCAATTGTTGAATTTCTCTTATTTCATTCACCAAATTTTTTTGTGAAAGACAAATTCAAATCTTATGGTTAACCCACCAAACTGACAAATGTCCTTTTCTCTAAGATGGAACTATTTTGATATGTGTAGGGAGACAACTCAGAGTGCAACAAATTTAAAAAAAAAAAAAAAAAAAAAAAAAAAAAACTAAAAAAACATTACTTTAAAATTGTCAACTTTGAAAATGTCAAATAAATATGCAGTCATCTTTACAATAGTGACAATCTAAAAAGACTAAAAACTAATCATCACACATGAAAAAGAATTCCATCTTTAGAAAGAGAAAAGATTAAATTTTGTTTACATGCTAATTTTAACAAGATAGCCTTGAAAATAAACAAGATATCAGCAGTTGAAATTGAAGGAAATTTCACTATTTTGACACATTCTCACATTGTAAACTAGGGCAGTTTGGGATACCTAATGACATCCGAGAAAAATGTAGTAGATATATTCATTAAACCTGCAAGAGGAGTTACAGTTTTTCATTTATGGTGACCCAATCCCAAATGCAAATTTTGCATGTGTTAGATTTAAATTATTGGGACTTTGCGGATGCAAGTAGGAATGTTGGAATATAAACAAATGAGATCACATTTAGTCATATATTTCTGGAAGAACAGGAACTAAATTTGAGTATATAGTGATTTCTCTCTCATTTAAATAATAAAGTCATTGAAACATACACTCAGTTTACTGTACTGCTAGCAATGTGAATATTACAACTGACAATATTGTTGATACTAATGATGATAATATTGACATTTCACTTATTCTATAATCAAGCCTAAGAAAAACAAGATCCATTTTCTAATTACAAATATTTATAGTTTAATTTGTAAACTGATTGAATAAAAAAATGCTCATCATTCTCAGAATCAAATGTATAAAACATTTTTATACACTATATGCTATTCTCTTTGGCACTTATTTGAAGGAATTACATTCAATGAATGCTTAGGTCCTCAGAGGTCAAATAGGATAAGTTATCTTTTAGTGTTCACATGAGTTAGAGTTTTAAGGTTCTTGCATTTCCTGATTCTCTTATCCCTCACAAGTGCCAAATACAATGACTATAAATACTTACAGGAGATTTACTGCAATTTTTTTCATTCTCCTTTCCACATATTATCTTATTCACAACCTATAGAAAATAAATAAAAGCAATATGAAAAATAAAAAAAAAACACATAAAATTAAAAGGCAACATCTTCATGTGTCAGCTTTTCAATATTTGGTTTATATTCTTTGGTCAGAACTGAACTTTCAGGGGAGATAAAATAAGTCATACTGATAAATTTATATAACAGACAAAAATAGAAATAGTGGGTTTGATCCTCACTGGGTGCTATATCTGTAATCATGTGACAAAACTAAACTATGCTTAGTAAATAATAACAAATATGAACAGAGAAAAGTGGATAAAAGGTTAGCTTTTGAAAAAAGATAAAATTCACAAACTTTAATCAACAAGTGATAAATTTTCCTTAAAAAAAAAAAAAAAAAAAAAAAAAATGTTTTTTCTTATTTAAGATTCATTTACAGCTTTAACCTTTAACATACAGTAGTTGTGTTGTCATATCCTGCTATGGCAACAGAAAATGACTATGACTGAAATTAAGTAGTACAGTAGAGGAGCCTTGAAAAACCATGCAGTGGAAAGGAAAGTAGTGAATAATGCAAAGTGTTAAAGGTTAATGTGTCTCTTCAACCAAGTCAAGGTATCTTCAAAATAAATAATCTTTTGAACAGATTTTGATAACCACCAAAAAATTTTCAGACAAAAGATCACACCAGTTATAAACAAACTAAAATTTTTACCTCTTTTGTCTAATCAAAAGAGAAACTCTACTTATATTTAGCTTAGGATGCCAATATTTAATCATATAACCATTCTGTTAGAAAGTAAATAAAAAATAACCCTGGACAATTTATAAAGTCTTGCATCATTTTCTTTTTTATATCAATATCTAAAAGCTTTCAAAAGTTAACTATAACAGTATTTTTAAATTTAAAATATTTACTCGCCCAAAACAATGACCTTTTTGCAGAGAGTAATCAACCCATGGAATTCCCTTCTAGAGTAAATATGATTATAGTGGATCAGTTCAAGGCAGGACTAGAAAAAAAACCCCCAAAAACAGACAAGTATCTACAAACTTTTAATCCTTGTTTGCTTGACATGCATGAATTATCCATGACTGAGACGCATGGAAGCTTTAGCTTCAATGTCTAACTACTTTTGTTTCTGTTGTTAACAACAAATATTTCAATTAATCCATTCTGCTGTCTTCTTCAAACATACAATGGGGAAAGAGAGAGAGGGGGGATTTTCTCCTCTGCCTCACTATTGTTTACTGTGTTCTAATTTGATTTACTCAAAAAAGAAAGAAAATCCTTCTTCCCAAAATGAATTAGCTGAAACATTATGACAACAATAGAAAGAATTAAATCAAAAGGCCAAATAATTCTTAGACTGATAAAGACTCCTTTCAAAATTACAGAATAGTTATAATATAAAGTATGGTAAAATAAAAATAACATTTTGTAGCTGTGTTATTGACATTTTTTACCTTTTTTAGTGTTGCACCAGTGATGACCCTTCAAACAACTCCCCAGTGTAAACAAATGCTGGCTTTTATGGCATCCAGTGAGGTCACTACACACATTTTCGGTCATGTGGAACATCACCCAGTTTGCAAAGATTGAGTTTCTTGTGCACAACACAAGCAATCTTATGTCGCTTACACTGAAGGGATAGGCTGTATCCACTACACATCTGTGTACCCCCCTATGCCCTGATGTCACTATCACACTATCAGGTAGCAGCTGGGGGGGCATTTTACATCTACTGCTTCTTCGAAGAAGCAGTTCAACAGGCTTACTTGCTTCTTGAGGCAGGCCTGTCACAATTTGCTGACCGTCATTGTCATCACAATCATTTGATTGGTTAGAGCCAACATCAGTTGTGTGGTTGTCTTCATTACAGGTATGTACATCTGATTGTCACTTGAGCAGTGGTTTTGCCTTACACGGAATTGCTCACTATATGAGGAAAAAGGATGAGGTCTTTCACATGATGTGGCATTCCATCCATGTAAACCACTTGGTGACTCACAAGTCTGGTTACTGTCCCTGTCTTTCATTTACTTGTGCATCTGTTCAGTGGATTCCTTACTAGTATGATGTTCCCTTTCTTGTACATACCCTGCTCAGACTCAAGCAAAGTGATTCTGGCAACACTTTTCACTCAGACTTCATACTGGGACAAAGCATTAACCGAAGCAATCACACGACAGACACTATCCTTTGAAGTAACATTATACCAGTAAACTGCTTCCTGGGCAGAGCATTTCTTTCTGGCAGCAATCCACTTTATGGATCTGTGTGACCACATATGCCCATTGTAAATGCAGACAGACACCCCGCATATTAAATGTTTTAAAGCTCCTGCTGTTAAATGCTAATCATTATCTGTCAAGAGCTCCTCTCAAAAGGGGTAGAGTTGAGATACTGGATCAAAGTAGCCAAATCATCTTGTCGTAGAGGTTGTCATGTGTGTGTGTGTGTGTGTGTGTGTGTGTGTGTGTGTGTGTGCACACACACACTACTGTCTCCAGTTTTCCTTTTTGCCATTGGATCGGTATTGACAGACATTCCAGGCAGAATTTAACATCAGATCTTCTTGCGTCATAGATCGAGCAACTTCCTGAGAGTGTCCACTGTGTGAGTGCCTTATCTGACTCTTCCATACCACTGCCAGTAGCAGCACATACCTGTTGCACAGGTTCTGCCTCATTCTTCATTGCTTCCATCCACCTCTGCAGGACTCTGATGATTTCTGTCTACTTTGTTCTGATTCAATTGGATGAGTGTGACCTCCACCATTAATACATACACCTTATTCAACTCCAAGAAGGTTCACAGCCTTAGGGCTCACTCTGGCTTTGCCTGTCAGTGTTCATTTGTCATTGACACACACAGCGATTCAGTTTTTAAATGTACAGTCTTAGCTTCCCAGGTTTACCCCCTTTATAATAACATCTAGCTCAGCAAGGTTGATATGTTACTTGTCCAACTCTGAACGCAAGCAACATGCATCTTCAATAATGAACCCAGGTGATTCAGGCAAAACTCCAGTGGACAAAGAACTTGCATCAACTCAGACATCAAGCTCTTTGTTATCAACGCACCACTTGCATCTATACGGGTTGCTTTACCTCACCCTGGTAATAGTCTGTCTGCATCCTTTTTAGCAGGGCATCATCAGTTTGATCATCCTAACTTTTCATCACTGTACTTGCTCTTCACTTGATGACAACAACCACTACTTGCAGCCATACACAGACTCCTGATGACAACCTCTGGGATGTCAGGAAGTGCATTCCTGTACTTCCAAAGCAGAACATTGTCTTTCTACCAGACAGTTAAGCCAAGTATCCTAGCTCCAGTTTCTGGTCACTCTGGAATTTTGCATGTCAATCCAAAGTGCAACAGGTGTTCAGCAACACTTGTTACAGACATAATATCCTCATTTACATACAGGCTGTCAATGTATATGGAGGTTGCCTCTCTGATTTTTTCATCATGAGATATCATGGCATCTACAACAGATCTTATTATTTTTGGGGGGCAACATTCAACTCAAATGCCATTCTGGTCAGGCAGTACCTTCTGTCTTGGAAGATAACAGATTGGTACAGCCAAAGTCGTTCAAGAATGCATGCTTGCAGATAGGCTGATCTGAGATCTGACAGTGTGACATTCAATTCTTTGTATCTCCATTCTCTTAGTTTGCAATATTGCTAAAATAGCTTATAGCTGAGTTATTGAAATTCTTTTTCTTTGCTCCTGTCACACCAGCAGTGTCCCTTCAAGCAACTCCCTGGTGTAAACAAATGTTGGCTTTTATGGCATCTAGCAAGGTCATCACAAATTTTTGGTCATGTGAAACATCACCCAGTCCACGCAGATGGAGTCTCCTGTGCTGCACACATGAGATCTTATATTGCTTACACTTTATGCCAGGGATATGGTGGGACAGGCCACTAAACATTTCAAGGTAATGAATCTGATTCATGGCTTAAAAGAAAACAGATGTGAGTAAATAACATGAACTGAAGGAAAATTACTTACAGACTTTTCAGAAGAGCCTTTTGATTTACTTATTCTTCCATTTCTCCATGGTAACAAATTTATTACCTACAAAAAAAGTAAAGTTCAATTGCAATGACAAACAAAATCCTTTAAAATGTAGTCACTGACTCACAATCAAGATAAAAGAATTGCCAATGCCAGAGCTTTTCAAATTGGTATGGTGTGAAACTTTAGTGTTCTTTATTTAACTAAAATTTATAGAATTATCTTTATAGAGATTTTGATTTATATATTTGGCATAACTAACAAATCTTTGGAAAGCTCTTGTTTAGGCATTTAAACAATTCTTCAAAACTAAAAACAAAAATGTTAGAAAATAAACTATCAATACAACTTTAAAATAAACCAGACATTTATCAAAATACACTTGATCTGTAATTTAATCTATCAAATAGAGGCAAAAATAGAAGCCAAATAAATACAATCTCTTTTTTTCAAGAAAGAGAAACAGAGAAAGACTTGCAGCTTGCTTCTAGGAAATTTATTTTCATGCTTATATTTGTTTGGATGTAACAATTTTAAGCCCAGAGTTAAAGTGAATAAAACGTAAAAACTGTTCGTATCTAACAAACAAAAAAGCTTGCCATCAACAGAGTGCATAATACATGAAAAATTCCAAGTGCTCTAAATAAATTCTCATGCATTTGACAAATTTACTGACATGAAAATCAAATACTTAGGGGCCAACATTGAATATTGCTCGTTTGCCTATCTCAACCAAATTACTATCAGAAATCGGTGTATATTATTATAGCAATTACTTTGATTTCGAGCCAAATTACTTCAACCTTTAAGTTATTGATTCGTAAGTTCGTCTTTGAAAACTTCCTGTCTCAAACAAAATGTTCTTTCTTTTTTATATAAATTCTTAAATCTAATAAAATCACGGAACCAGTAAAAAAAAGTGAAGAAACATTCTTTTCTAGTCTAAAACTTTCGTGTCAACAATAACGCTGAAAATAGTAGTGCATACAAGTTTGTAGTTTATTGCAAAGAAAAAAATCAAAAACAGAGGCTTCAATTATTTGGGATGTTTTCTTTCAATGAAAAGTGAAAATAATAAAAATTGTAAAAACATGATTTTTAAAGTAAAAATGGAATTTTCGCATCTAGTAGAGAAAATTCTGTATTAAATTTCAATTTCTCATCCGGAAATCTAAGGGAAAAAACGCTTAAGCTCTCTAAACCGAAGCAAAGAAAAGGTGATAGAAAAAAAAATTCTTTATCCGCTAATCCTTTTAACTGCGAATTTGTAAAAAGGGCCAAATGTCACAAGATGAAGAATATTTTTTTTCTTCGACTTCCTTAAAAACATTTCTATTAAATTTAGTTTTTAGTTGTTCTCCAAAAAAATTAAAAAATTCCCAAGCAACAGTCAGAGAATAATTTCATTTGACTGATGTCTGAAGAGAAGCAACGAGTTAGAAACTTGACTACAAAGTTGTTGGCATTTTATCAAGAAAAATAAGTGCCCCCACACAGATTCCCGACTCATACAGTCAGTATTCGATGTTTTCCAAAGAGGAAAACTGTTGACGTTGGTAAAAATAGTGTTTTAGTTATGCATAGTTTTACTTTTGTCGAAACCGCAAATTTTATAAATTAAAATAATTTAAATTTGAAAAAATAAAACAATTTCGTTAACTGCTTTTCGTGTCAACTAAAAATTAAATGAATGATAAAAAAATGAATCAATATATAAAACTAGTTTACTAAGCTTGACTTTGCCTGACACAAGTTGTATAGTTTTTTTTGTTTTTTTTTAAGGGGGGGAGGAATCGAATAACATAGGCTTGTTAACCAACGCTCTACGGCAGTGTCACGACTTATTTATCTGGTACAAGGCCACGTAGAGGCACACAACGAGGATAGAACTCAATTACCCACGCGAATTGATTTTAGGAGATGAGTTTAAAAACTATCACGCTGTTGTAGTCATCAGAAAAACTGAACAAGAAACACAAATAGAAAAAGTTTTATTTAGCGGGAAGTAAAAAAAAAATAGTGTTCCTGTTTTTATGGTGTCCACTGGGAATATTGTAATGATGATTCAATCTTTAAAACAGGAAAAACATAGCAACATTTGTTTACTAGTATAGTTGCAATCCGAGGAGGAGGTGTCCTGTAAGACTACAAATTAGTACACTAACAGAACTTTAGTTTTTATCTGACTTTTTCTTTATTGGTGTGTAACAATAACAACGTTGAATTGTCGTTAGGTTCGATTTTTTCATTTTTTTAATAATGAAAAAAAAAAAAAATCATGTCACATTAAGTCCGGATCTAAAAATTAGAAAAAAATTCACTTGAAGAAAAGAAAATTAAACATTATTTTTGGTTTCGCTGTTTTCTTACAAAATAAAAACACTCCAAAATATTGATATTTTTTTCAGATTATTTGTATATGCTAAAAAAGAGAAGTTTTTTTAAAAGAAAGGAAAGTTTACTAATGTACTAGAAAAGTAGAAAATTCTGCAGGTGTGCATATTTGTGGATTAACGACCTAAATTTCGGTGAATACTGGCGTAACAGAGAGGTGAGAACATTATTCATCTCTCTCCTGTTTTCTGCTCGCAGAAAAGAATCTCAAAAAATAAATAAAAAGAAAACTAAGCAGACCTCCTTGCTTTGAAATTGTCAAATGGTGAATAAACCGAGAGATAATAAACCAATATAGATTCGAAAATAAAACTAGTGTGGGGAAATCGAAATAAAATACACAACATACTTTTCCTAGATCCAGTTTAGACAGGAACCAAAATAAACTTGACACGATCAGTAGAGAAAGGAAGAAAAGAAAAACATACACGAGAGGAAAATATAAACAAAAGTACACCAAATCATACACAATAACAAAAGACGTGTATAATAACATAAAGAGAGTAATAGGAATGAAAGAAAAATGAAATTTTGTTAGTTAACTAAATATAATGGCAGTGGAATGATAATAGATGAGTAAAACATTGTGTACGAAACGATGCCGTTTCTGACCCTGGAAACGAAACCAATATGTCCTGTCAGCAAGCGGAGTTGGTGCCATGGGCTCCAAAATTGGCAACTACACTGAACAATTAGCGACCAAGAAGAAAAAGAAATACCTGATAACACCAATAAATTTCTTTTTGTCGTGCATAGTACAACGGGTGCAAACACGTGTTATAAATCCCCGAAGGTAGCTAGCGATTCAACTTAAAGTTCAAACAGCCGCCATGATGCCGTGTTACAAAAATAGTCTTTTTTTGATTTCGCAGTATTAAAGAGTCCCTCAATCGCTTGACTGGAAACAGGACGCCAAACGGGACGAAAACAGCCAAGTCTCGTGCCACATTTTACATGCAACCAACTCAACGGACTGACTATATTAATTCTAAAGTAAATGTGTTCTCGGGTTGCATTCAGATGAAAGTCGCAAAAACTAAAATAAACACGTATGTTGGATCCGCTTTACAAAAATTGATTCCTCCTCCTCCTCCTCCTGTACTGCTTCTGTCTTTATATTAATTTATTTCGCTCGTAAATAAATTATTTTTTTAATTTGGTCAGTAAATTATGTTGGCAAGTACGTGTTATTTTTAAGAAGGTAAAATAAAATCTAAAAAACTAAATTCGTGTTCTGCTTTGTCTGTGAGAAATTATTCTAAAATTAAATTTATTATTTTGTACATGAGAATTTTTAAAATACTTTTTAAACGTTATTTCTGGATGAGTCAGTTGTTTAAAATTTATAACTTGAAAATTAAAGCATACGACAACATCATTTAAAAGTAAAACAAGTTCAGTAGACGTCAAGTACTTGAGTGTCAGGTACAATGGGTCACTTTTTTAGTCAAAAGAAGCAATGTTGACTTTTTCTTTCTTTTCTTTTTTTTTTTTTTTTTTTTTTACATTACTTAGATTGTACATCGTAACCGAAATGGAAAATATCAACGGAAAAGAGGGTAACTAGGAAGTCTCATCATGTTCAAATGATCACCAAACTAGATTTACTGAGTTGGATCCTTACTGAGTGCCTCATGCTTGAGCTTGAGGCTTTGCGCACCAATTAAGCTAAGCTTAGTAAATGATAATAATTAAAGAATAACTAACTGACCTTCATATGGAGTTTATTTAAATTCCCCTAGCATAAATTACATGAATCTTTCTTTTTGTTTTATTTACGCTTGTAAGAACAATGTATACAGGTGTGTGTCACGCTTGGTATCAGATACTGAGAAGGGGACAGAAAGAGAGTAGGGACATCTTAAAACAGAAAGAGAGAGAAGGATGTGGAGAGACAAAAACAGAGCGCGACACAGAAAGGTATTGGAGGGGGTCATCTTAAAGGTAGTGAGGGGCTAATAATGTTTCGTTAAACGATCTGTTCAAAGCAAATTAACCCCTGAACTGCAAATGACTTTTTGAAACTAAAAGCTTTTTGTTTTGTTTTTAATTTTATCTTTGCCAATTTGTTACAGACTGAGCGAATCCAGATTGTGTTGAGCGAAAGTGAAACAGAAAGAGCGAAGGAGAGAGAGATTTTTTATGACAATTCCTTCACACAAACACACATATAAAGCACACACACACACACACACACACACACACACACACACACACACAGATAAAGCACCTATATTGATATACATAAAAAAAAAGTTTCATATTTCTGACTGATGTAATAATAATAATAATAATAATATATATATATATATATATATATTATGAAAACGGAGACTTTAGTTAAAATAATAATTCTTGCTCTGTTATTACATCGAGCTCTCTCTGTATCTATATCCTCTTTGGAATTATCCATACAGATTACCATATATATATATATATATATATATATATATATATATATATTACAGGTAATCGATCAGTTGGTATATAATCCGGGTGGATCGTAGTAAATATTAATTATTAAAACTGATCCATTAGAGAGCTCGATGTCTTTATTATAATAGAGTATATGTATTTTTTACAGCAAAAAAAAAAAAAAAAAAAAATTACCTCAACATGGGATAGTCTATTTTGCTTTTGTATATGAATGGAAGAAGAGATACTAGAAGAAAACAAACATTACTTAGAGCTACAAATGATAGGAAGTTATAGAGAGCCATAATCGCCCATACTCTGGAGGAACACGGCATAGAAAAGAAAAATATTATTTGCTGTGATAACTTTTATAAAAATTCCAGAAGGATTTTTAATCGAATATTCAATAATAAAGAAAAATATTGTAACAAATCTGCCTTTGGAAATATTTACTTAATATTTGACTTTTGCAGACAATTGTTCACTTTGATTTAATCTATTTAATGTAAAATAAGGAGTCAAATGAGAAATTTAGTTTATATAAAATGATGGGATCCAAAAAGCAAATCCCAGTGGTTAATAAAAATAGGCTGGAAACCATTATAAATATCAAAACATTGCTGAAGACCATGTTCAGAGCAATTGCCATGAGACTATCTAAGACTTTAAACATAGTATTTTCAGTAATGTTCGTCAGTTATGATGTAGCAGAAAAACACAATTTACACATAGAGATAACAAATTAAAGCCAAATTTATACAATTATTAGAAAACATAAATCTCTAACTACACACCAATTTTCGTCTAGCTAAGTCACACACACGCCGCACTCTACTCAAAACAAATTTAAAAATAAACACCAATATACCAGAGTGCTGGTTATTATCGACGCGACTCTCGATTGCCACATATGTCTACAACTACGTCCGTGCTTTTCACTTATATAGGCTATAAGAAAGACCGGGCAGCGGAGAGAAAGCAGAGAGAATTTATACATACGCGCTAATCCTAGAGGCTACCCGAGAACACAGCTGACTGCTCATCCGATCATTAGGCTGTGAAACTACCTCCTGTGAACACAAAAAGAGCACGAACTCCACTTTCAACGCGACAAGCTCAAACCAGTAGCCAACAAGCAGTCAACTGGGTTAAGCATATTCCTTTTTCACGCTCTGATTTAACATCACGTACATTCGAACGCTACACTATAGGACTTACCAGAGACATTTTCTTATCTTGTAAATGAAAATAAATCTTTGGTCATTTCTCCAAACCCGTGTTTAATTTGTTTCTTTAATCAACTTCCACCTCGGATCAACTGAGGACCACGCAAACGAACACGACTGTAAAAATGGAAGACGACTCATTGTCAGTTTCAGATATGTCTACAGAACGACACGAAGCAAGACTAAATATCATCCATTTCCCTCCTTTTAACAGAAGAAGCCCTGGGATCTGGTTCACCCAAGTACAAGCTTCATTACATATCTGAAATATAACTTCACAGCAAATTAAGTTTGTTTATGTAGTAGAAGCCATACCAGAGGATATAGAGGTTAACGACATCATCGAACACATCCCAACCAAAAATCCATACGACATTCTAAAGACAGCCATCCTAAAAAGATTTGGAAAATCAGATCGGGTCCAAATACGGGAACTTTTTAGGGACACAGAGATCGGCGACAGATCACCATCACAGCTACTAAGACATATAAAGAACCTTTTAGGTAGCAACTCAATAGATTAAAACCTACTACGATGGTTGTGGCGAGATAAGGTAACCATAGACACGGTCAAAAATCTCACGCCACTTACCTAAAGATCAGAGCTCAAACGGCCGAAACGGCCGATAATAGACATGATGTCTATATTACACCCACCATTAACACTTCAACAATGCCCGAAAGATAAAGGTGGACAGGTTGGAAGAAATGATTAAAAAATGACGCTGAGTATTAACCAACTTGTTCAAGAGAGGCATGCATCACAACACCAACACAGGCAAGACAAAAGTAGATGGAGACGGTCCAATAGCAGACATCAGAGATTAGGGCCGTGATCGAAAATATTGTTGCCATCATTGGCGTCATGGAATTAACGCTAAGAAATGTACACCTGCATGTATATTTCACACTCCTACAGTAAGGACAGCGACAGATTGACTAGTATCATCAAACGCAAGTACCAAATCTTTCAAATGTAATCTTTTCCACGTCACAGACAAAATCTCTGGCTTACGATTTCTCGTCAACAGTGGAGTTGATTTACGCGTTTTACCAGCAACACAAAAACGAACACCCCACAAATTCTCCCCAGTAACAGTGGACAATGCTGTTATGAACACTTACCGAGAAAAATCTCTCACTCTGGATATTGGATTTAGACGTTCACTACCATGGACATCAAAGTGCTGATTTTAGGCGTAGATTTTTTTATGCTATTATGGTCTTATCATTGACCTTAATGTTTAGTGTACAGCTCAACGTCTCTATTTATGAAGGGTTTACCAACGAATGGAAATCACAGCAGCACTACCTGATAACAGCACCTATAGAACATTGATAAAGGAATTCGGAGACATAACTAACCCAGTGACGCAGAATAAAAACTCAAGACATAATTTGGTGTATTGGCTAATCACCACTGAACAACCAGTACATGCAGCACCACGACACTTATCCTCGGATAAACTTAAAATCACCAGGGCGGAATTTTAATGGATGCTGAATTTAAATATAATTCGTCCGTCCAGTAGTCTTTGGTGCCAAAAAGATATATGGTGCCAAAAGGGAACGGCCCAGACTAGAGACCCTGTGGAGAATACCGAGCTCTGAATAAAATAACTACACCAGACAGGTATCCCATTCCACATTTACATGATTTTACTTCCGCATTACTACAGAAAATAGTATTCTCTAAAATAGATCTGACCCGAGCTTACAACCAAATTCCTGTGGCCAAAGAAGACACCGAAAAGACAGCCATAACAATACATTTGAACTTTTAGAATTTTTAAAATTGCCTTTTGGTTTCAAAAACGCAGCACAAACGTTTCAGCGTTTCACAAAGTTTTTCGCGCACTAGATTTTGTCTACGTATGCATAGACGACGTACTTATAGTTAATACCTACAAAACAGAACCCGAGTCTCACATCAGACAAGTTCTACAACGTTTGCAATATTTCAGATAAAAATGCATTTTTGGTGCCTCATCTTCTCTAGATCAGAGGAATAACACCTTTGCCTGAGAAAGTAGATGCCATACTTTATTTTCCAATTTCAATAACTACACTACAATGTCGTCGACGATATCTAAAGTACCGAACGAACAATTATCACTTGATAATTATGAATACGCCCAAGCATGTCTTAAAACACTAGCAGCTAAAGTTAAAAAAAAAAACCAAAAAAAAAACACTAAAGGATTTAAAGTTAGAGGAGAAAACCAAATAACTGATCTCTTGTTTCTTTATTTTTCTCAAAAGCTCAGTGTCATTAAATGCATTCAGTTTCATTCAACTTTGTCCGTCAGATAATTCTTGGATTTGGCCTGATACATAAGTCACACAACCAGCGAGAGCTCTTCTACATTCACCTAAGCATTCATTCACGTTAGTATCTTATAGTCCTACTACAACCTGGTGACTTGATTAGAGCCCACCATCTAATGACCTCTATCCGACTATGCAAAATTGACTTCCGACTAAATTCCAACGACATACATGCAAAAGACTCATAACTATTGTGTATTAAATAAGAGTAAGTCTTCTATCCCTCTTCTCTTCACACAATTTGAAGTGTTAACATATTCTGCTGATAAAGCAGAAAATTTTGCTCGTAAATTTTCTTCTAATTCTACTCTTCACTCATCTGGAATATCTTTACCTGACTTTCTACTTAGAAGAAAGTTTCTATTGAGTGATATGCATATAACTCCATCCATGGTTTCTGTTATCATCTTTAAACTGGAATTAATATAATGAATCACATGCTAGATCCTCTGCTAGGAAATTTGGTTAATGGTATCGTGCCATACAATTTTTCTCAGAATCCATTTTGCATATTTATGAATCTATCCTTTATATATGGAATAATGTGGCCACATATGGTCTTGTGCTCCTACTATATATTTAGAGATTCTTCATAAAATCTAAAGAATCTACAATGTTATTGGTCCTGACCTAGCATCTCGGCTTCAGTCACTTTTCCACTGTCGAAACGTAGCTTCCCCTGTGACTTTTATATAAATACTTTCATGGTAATTGTTCTGATGAACTTTCCTCTATGGTATCTGGACTTTACGAATTGAAGCGCCATTTCTTGCTGGGCGGCAATGTTCCACCATTTTACAGTTGAAATGTCTAGCTGTAACTGTAAGGTCTATGCTAACAGTTTCTTCTACCATGCTTCTGCGTCCTGGGTAAGACGATAAACTACATCTAACAGCAAGGCCTCTGATCAGGAGATTTTGAGGAGCGTGGAATCACCTCTTAATTGCTGGTGCTCTCTGGTCCACCCTTACCCGAGGTGGTAGCACCTGTTTGGGTCCCAGCTATGGACAAATAGTTAACTCCCAAACTGGAGTCAAAACACTATGAAAGTGTAAGAATGGTTTTTAATACCAGAAATACTTTGTAAAAAAATATTACAAGCAACACATTTTTGAAAAGAAATATTACCAGCAATACATTTTAAAAGAAAAATATTACCAGCTATACATTTTTGTAAAGCAAATATTACTAGCAAAGGAAAATTATTACCAGAAAGATTTTTTGAAGGAAAAAATATTACCAGAAATAGATTTTTGGAAAAAATGTTGCCAACAATGAAAGTTTTTTCGGCATTAAATAACCCATTGAGGTTGATATGCTGTAAAACAAAACAAACCAAACCAAATCTACCGCACTTCTCGCTTGTGGAATTCTCTTCTGGCTTCTTGCTTTCCCGTAACCCACTTGCGTCATAATGGCTTTATTACCTTCCTTGGGGTGAAATGATTAAAAAAATATCAAATTCACCAACAAATCATAAGTGTCTTGGAATTAATTTTTTAATTCCATAAAAAACTTTTTAATACATAATAAAGAATGCTTAAGTGTTTGTTACCATCTTAGAATTATATTCAAATATTGGATTACAAAACTTTTTAATATACCCTCGCTTAAACGCCATCTCAGGCAGGTTCCGAACAATGTAAATTAAATTCTGATTATAAAATTCATATCATAATTATTTGCAAATGTGAATTATCACTAAACTAATCTTTCAAAGTCTATGAAATGTGTCAAGTGTATTCCCTGTTTTCAAGAATACGAGTGAGCCCTCATCCCCGTCGCAATGTTGGCCTATCAACCTCTTTATCGTCATGAAAAAAAAAACTCTTTGAGGCTATCATCATCAGGAAGGTTGTTAATCATCTCAACAAGGACAACTGCGTGAAATTTAAAGTCGATAAAGAAAATAATAATAATGAATAATAATAAAAAAGAAAGACATTTTCGCTTGATACGAAGAGTAAAGGAACCAGAAATATAATTATCCCACTTAGCTTCGTAAAACACTGTTAGGTGGAGTTGTTGAAGTCTATAAAAAGACAAACATTCTACTGTCTCATTGTCTTTCTCCCTTTTTGTTCCAAAATGTGGAACCACGTAGTTTCACCAGTCCACTGTCAACTGAATTCTCTTACTTTGCTCGCATATGGTTTCCAAAACCTCCAGCTATGAAGTAAGTCAAGATTTCTCTTTGGTTGAGCCAAAACAGCGCAAGGCTTGTAACCCTTCAACAACTCAAAAAACAAATTTGTGTTTTTCCATCATCATCACTGGGCAGACCCTGAATTTTCGACTATCGCGATGAACAGGCGTTCTCTCAACGAGGCACCTTGCCTTGAACGTCTAATTTGACACTCCAAAACTCAAATGGAACTCGTATCTACGACCCATCGCTAAAGATGCTGGAAAAATGGTCGGGTCCTTGCATCGCTCTAGTAAATATCTGGCTCCTCCTGATATGCTATACTTTTACAATAGCCAGATCAGATCGAAAATGAAGCATTCCTGCTACACATAGGCTGGATCTGGAAAATCTTCCACTTTCCATTTTCTATAGAGTTCAAAAAGCGTCTACGCGGTCTTGTGGGCGATGAATTAGTTTCTATCCTACAACTCCTTTCTCACAGACGAAACATCGCAAGCCACTCTTGCAATTTCCATGGGAAATGCTACACTCCTTTATCCCACCAGTTCTCACCTTAACAGCTAAGACCCTAATCCTGCCACGTACACTTGGTTGAACTATCCCCCATTCCCTTTGTATTCCATTAGTATGACAGCTTGGACAGTTTCTTTCCACGAACCTCTAACTTGTGAAACCGACTCCCAGGAGGATGCTTTCCCGACCTCTACAATCTTATACTCTTCAAGTCTAGGGTTAACTGTTATCTTTCCCTCATATGCTGATAAACTGCAATTCTTACATTTATCACTCATACAACAACATTTTAGTTACCCTCTACCTTGAATGGTTCTTGGGCCTTATATAGGGTGAAGATTATTAAAAAAACAATTTATTAAAATATTGTCATTGGCACTCTCCTATTGAGGGATAGAAAAAAAAAGAATATGAACAAGTCAAGGGAAAAAACTCTGTAATTAGTAGTTAATAGACTTAATGTTCTCTCCCTTGAATGCCTTTTTTTAACCTACTTAATGTATAATCAAAATTATTCAGAAACTGATGGGCACCTGGATTACAAAATGTTTTATTTTCCAAATTAGAGGATACTGACTGTATGTCCTAAAAAAAAACAAAAACAACTTACGATGCTATTTAAACGTTACAGTAACAAACACAGAAGCATGCAGAAATCGGATCATTGTAATTTTAATAAATACAGTGAAAGTATTGAAATAAAATTTAAAAAATAACATTTAAATTTTAAAAAAGTGAAATTGATTCAATTCAATGAATAATGATTTATGGAAATATAGTTACAAAGAAACAATTTGAGTTTCCTTTATCAGCAAACATAATCGTCGTCCTTCGGATCCGAAGAAGATTTTCTTCATGCATTTATGAT